CCCATGCGAACTTGAGATTAGGTTTCTGGGAAAGTTTTAATAAGTCGAAGGAACCAACTCTCCCTCTCTCAGAGAACGAAGAGTTTGTTCGTACAATTGGTTTTCCCTCCGTTGTACCTTATCCTCCCGCTCCTTCTCGACCTCGAACTACTTGGTCATCGAATAGTAAAAGAAATTCAATCCCTCACTACCTCCTAAATGATTCGGAAGAATGGCTGAAACTCACTGCAGGAAAAGCTAATCGTGATCTTCCTCTCTCACCGATCGGTTTATCTCCCGATGCTGGTGAACCAATTAACCCATTTACGGCCATTAATCCCTTCAATCGTCTAAAAGACGATGAACAAAAAGAAATCAAAAATAAAATAAAAGAAATGTTTCCCTCCATGAGAGAATTGGTCACTTTTGATCAATCCCCGACCATCAACCCACAAAGACTCGAATATCGAGCCAATCGAAAAAACAAAGCCGCTATTATTTTCAACTCGCTGGTCGATCAACAAGTAGAAGAACTTTCTTCTCACCATCAAGAACTTTTAAAAGAATGTATAAGTGAACATCCTGATCCATCGAATATCTACTCAATCAACGCGGCGTATGTTCGAATTGAAAGATTCACCGCCGAAGGAAATAGAAAAATCATTCCACATCCAGTATGGATCGTAATCATCGATGGAAACATGAACGTCGTTTATGAAACTCTCGTTCATTACAAGAACATTAATTACATGGATACTCAATTCCATGGATTGAAGAAAGAAAATTTAAAGTTCGCTAAACACTTAGCTTCAGTCCGAGATCAAGTTCTCTGTTATTTGGCCTGTGCTAAGCAGATAATCGGTGCTGGTCTAATCTCTCTATTAAATTGCCTCCAACTCACTCCCCCTGAAATAGACCTTCTTCGCCCGAAATTGAGAGATGTTACCATTTACTTTTCTCCCTACCGAACATCTCCAGCATCACTCTCTCTCCTCGCCTTCATTCTCTTCAGTGGTTATACAATTAGAGCCCAATCACATTCTCCCTCAATCGAAGCTCTCACTGCAATGAGAATGTATATGTTTTTCTGGCAGGAAATCGAACAAAAAGTCAAATCCACCGGACGTGGAATTCACAATCAATCAATTCATCTTTATGTAAGAAACGATAAAGTTTCTTATCTTCATAAAAGATTCAGTCAATTGGTGGAATCCAAGAAAGCCAAATGGCCAGTTGATTGGTCTTATTATCATAATCATAAAGAAGTCCCTGAATACAATTCTTTTAATTGTGTTTCACCCGCTCCGTCACCATCATCATCATCATCATCATCATCATGTCCATCAAGTGGACCTTTACCTTCATTTTCATTCCCTCCTAATTCAGATCGTGTTAACAATCAACCGACTGAATATTTAATCGATGGACATAGAGTTCCATTTACCTCATCAAATCAACTAAAGGAAAAATATAAAAATATTCCAACATCTTCATCATCATCATCAACTCCATCACCAAATACCAAGACCCTAACCGCTGCCGCTCATGTAATTCTAGAGAATTTGCCTGACCCTCCATCAACCTTTGGTTCCTTAAACAATTCCCAGGACCCCAGGAAACAAAAAACAAAATCTCCCCAACTCATTGAATTCAGTCCAGAGAATTCACCCCAACCAACATCATCAAGTTCCCCAAATCCCAATAGGATCTCCGCTGAAACCCTGAAGAAGTATCTCAGTCAAAACGCTGGGGACTGAAGGGTAGAAAATCATGAAATCCTCAAACTTTCATCTTCATCACTATCATGATTTGGAAACTTGATTCATTTAAAAACATTTTCTAATTTTCTTTAATTTTCTGTTTAAATTTTGTTTAATTTCTAACAATTAGTTAATTGTGCCTATGATTAAGCTTAAAGCTTTTTCTTTTTCTATTCAACAATTTAACTTTGTTTAATTCCTCCCACAACTATAATTGTAATTTCCCTCATTGTTATAATTAACCAATACGCTTAATTAGTATCCCTAATTAACAATTGAATTAATTATAAATTAACGAATCCTGATTGTTAAAACCAATCAGATTTAACCAAAAATTGATTTTATATCTAAAGATATAATTTTGATTCCGATTCTTAATTGTCACAATTTACAAATTTCCTTAATTGTAAAACCCAAATCTCTTAAACTTAAGTTACCAAAATTTGGTCACCAAAGAAAGAGACCCGTTTTTCCCTTTCTTTTCCTCTTTCTTTTCCCTTTCTTTTAGTTTTTCATCTTTAGTACTAATAAGCCTACAAGCTTATCTTCAAGTTCATTTTTTATCTTTAACCAAAAACTCAACCATAAGTCTCACTTTGTCGAGACATAAGAGTTACATTATAACCTTTACCTTTTATCTCATCATTAAGAGATTAATTTGTTTTCCCCTTTTCTTTAATTGTGAAACCCCTTTTTCTTTGTTCTCTGTTCCTATTAGAACAAGATTTTTCCCTCTTCTCTCTTCAGTAATGTTTTAACATTCAAATAGTTAACTTACTCGATTAAAATTTCCTTTCACAAAAAAAACGTGTTAATCTCAATTCCATCCATCAATTTGAATTATTCAGAAATTCTAATTTTCTCCATCTTCTCAATCAATTCAAGAGAATTAAGTTAAATAGTGAAAACGAAGACACTTAAGTGAGTCTAGATTTGAGTGCTCTTGTTATTCAGTGATCCTAAACGAATCTGTTATCGGTTTTGTGGGACCGAAAATCTTCCTTCCGAAGTCTAGAGACTTTTCCGAGTTCTAACTCAAATCCATCCATCGATCTAAAAGTGATCATCAAATCCCTCATCTCAAATCTAACCCCACATTATTATTATTATTTGGAAAGATTTGAAAGAAATAAAGTTCATGTAAGCTCAGTAACCATGTAATACAAAAGGAATGGTTAGTGAAAAATTCACATGTAACATAAGTTTTATCGTCATCAAGACATTTGACTGACATGTTTCAACTCATGTTGAAAATGATGCATAACATTAACCATGAAAATGATTCCAGTGACAATTCATATTTCAACATGGTGCTGATATTTATACACACACATATAGTATATAGAGCTAATAATGGTGATAAATCAGAATACAAATGATATCAACAATCAACAATCAACCGAATAAACAAATAACAAACTATTCCAAAGATTATCTGTGTACGTTTGTGAATATCATAAACTGTTATCCATGAATTGAGGTGGAAATGATAAGAGAAAATGCAGAATTTTCCATTCTGAGAAAAGAAGAATTGAAAAAATTGTTCAGAAGATTAGGGAACTTTCATCTTCAGTATTCCTTGGATACCAATAGAATTGAAAACGATTTCTTTAGTGTAAATAATGATAATAACCGTGATGATAATAATTATTCAGAATACTTTGAATGGTGATTGAGTTTTTTATCTCTGTGTTGATGATTATGATGGTTTTTGTCATGATAATTATCTGTATCAGTTGAGTTGATTTCTCATTACAACAGATGATTTAATTTTATCACTTTTCCATCAGCCAAAGTAATTTCAAATTTCAATTCTGAATAATTTTCTCATCATTTTCATCTGTATTCTTCCAAGTAAAAAAATAAATTCTCCCCTGAAAATAAAGTTAACTGTCAGTTTCCTTTTCCCCTATTTCAGTAGGAATCAAATCTTTTTCAACTTCCCCTCAGGGTATAATAATAATAGTGATTATTATAAAAAAAATACTAATGACGAAGATGATGATAAGATATTATTCAGAATGAATGATAAAATGAGGAAAAAAAAACTTCAGGAGAAAATTGAATGAGAATCTCATGGAGATACTGGAAATGTATGATAAAAAAATAGAAACGTAGAGGGAAAAAGAGAGATGATGATCATGAAGATGAGGGTATGGGTGTGGTATTGTCTCGGTGGTGGAGGGAAAAAAGAAGCTACTTGTTCGGATTTTTTTTCCATGTTGAATATTGTTGCTTCATGGTTGACTTGCGACTTGAATGCAAGAACTATTAATGATAATGATGATTCTGATGATGATATTATTATGATTATCGTGTATTCTAATAGTTGATAAAATGTCATTTATATTCAATTTCATTCTGTTATAACAACAATGGTGATTTAACCCAATCATTTAACCCTTAAAACATGAATGATCAAATTCAGAGAAAATGAGCTTTCATTATACATATAATATTTATACAGAATTTTTCTATTCATTATCTTGATTCTTCAAGTTTTCTTTGATTATCTCAGCTTCATTATCTCTAAACAGACACAATCTCAATCTTCCTCCCTGAACATTATCTACGATTTATAATAACAATTATCTTCATCATCATTATGATGTATTATATAACATAACTGCTTTTGACAGTTTTACTCAGGCTTAATCATAGCTTGAGATTTTTTTTTATATTCCCACCCTGATTAAGAGAGTTCGTCACCATTATCATCATTATCATTTAGTTTCAAATGTTTTCAATGTGTGTGTGTGTATGTGTGTATACAACCAGAGGCTACAGAGTGAAGTTCAAGTAAAGATCAATTTCCAGGGTGATCATGAAAAATAAAATATCACATTTCATGGTGAACATTGGATATTATTTAGTTGGAGGAGAAAAAAAAACTGATCCATAAAATAAAATGAACCATTTTATGTTGGATGATTTTAACAATATTGATGAACCCTTTTTTCCCTATTGGTATTCACTTTTATCTCCATAGAAAGAGGCTGAGAGGGTTTCGAAATTCTGAGAAAAAGTTCTAACCACCCACTGAACAATAGATAAAGTTTGAATGGTTTTCTTTTCTGTAGTCAATATCGACTGAACCGTGTTCAATCATTATCATATTACTTTCGTTCATTATCATTCAAAGTTATCTTTCATGAAAAGTTTTCTCTCTTTCTTATCCATCTTATCATATTAATCTATCATCCTTTTGGCATCTTCCACTCACACCAATGTATTTGTACATTTATCCCTCTGATTATACAGGAAGAGGATAAAGCCAACGGAAACGCATTAACATCCGACCGTTTCAAGCAACTTGTTTACGATTTTTGGGTTTCAAAGGATCCATCAAGTCCAGGGAAATATATTTGTGGTCCATTTGATTCAGTTGATCGAGCAGAGATGGAGAAAAAGATACAACATAAATCAATGTAATCATGATAGTAATAATAATCGTAATTGCAAACAATTGATCAACAAAAACTATGGAAAAAAAAGATGAAAACAAACAATAAATAATAATGGAGAATAAGATAAGAAAAAAAATAATAGAGAAAATAATAAAAAAAATCAATGAAATCGAAGAATGGAAAAAGGATAAGAAAAAAAAACTACAACAATATAATCCAAATATGAAACAATCTAATTATTAAATGACACAACATTGATGATAAAATCTTTAGTCATATTTTTATCTTCATCTTGATCTTCATTATCCTTCATCTTGATCCTCTTTTCCTACTTAATGGTTTGAATCTCGATTTTCAGTTTGCTTTCAGTTTTAATAACTTGTTGATTCAATTCTTGTATTTTCGTCAACTTGTAATAAAAAAGGTAAACATTACAACAGCGTCTTTATCATCATCATCATCATCATCATTGTAATCGTTTACTCCAACCACATACGCTCAACCTTGATTATCTTCATGTTTTTGGGCAAAAATCAACAAGCAAACAAAGCAAATTATTTATGTATTATGTTGGTTTACTGGTCTACCACAGTTGTATTTGACTACTTAACTGTAAACTGATTAGTTGGGATGAAAATTGATTAAACATTTACCTTTCTACAGGTAAGCATTGAGTTGAGATACATAATAAATATTATACAGCCAAAGACTTTGAGTTTGCAACCACTCGTTTAAATCATTCGCGCAGTTAATGATAATCAAGTAAAGATAACGTTTGATATCTAATCAGTTGACCATTTTAAGACTACACCATTTAAATTAGTGGACAGACTTATCATCATATCTTTGGGTTAACTGTATCTCTCATTGATTATATTCAACTACGTGAATGATGAAAAAAGTGGTTGCGAACTCAAAATCTTTGGCTGTATACACAAAAGATTCATATGTAAAGTTAATCATGGCTTATAACAGGAAAATGTTTTGATTGGATGGTCAATCAATTCAATTTACTCTGATAGTCAAGTCAAATTTGGTAGTAGACCAAGAAAACTTGTCACAATTATTATATCTATTGACCAATGGTAATCTCAAAACAAAGGTTAACCAATAAAGTCATCTTGATGTAAAAATCACAATCAAAGTTTGTATTTTATTACAAGAAACAGTTATATCACTTGTCATCTAATAATCAGAACAATTTGTTTTCCTTTCTCCCGATTGAGTTGCATTGATTTTCTACCTTCATGCTCATCATCATCATCATTCTTCACGGTGGTTACTCAAACATTTGGAATAATTTTCTTTCAAACTGTCTATTTAAACTCACACATTTACCTTGACAGACAAAGAATCACAAAGGGTCAAACCCAGAAAAAATGATATTAGGATAAGCTGAAGACAAGTGAAAAAAAAACTAACGGTAACTTGGGACTCTAATGTCATACACAGATTATGATGATGATGATGATGATGAGGATGAGGATGCTTTTGTTTTGTTCAATCTTTTTATCAATTTTACTCACACACTGAGATATTTATATATTAATAGTATATAAACCATGTAACTCAGTTTTCTTTTTCCTTTTGTAAATTCAAGGGATAGAATCACATATGTTAAGTTTACCTGAAACAAAAATAAAAATACATTACCGATGCTTGGAGGTAAATATAACTGTAAATATATAAGATAAAGATGAGGATAAAAATGAAATCTACTGTCAGTTTGTATAAACATATTTCACAATAATAATAATAGATAATATTATTGAGATGAAATTGAATTGGGAAACAATTTTTACTTCATCAATCTTTATTATTATCTTTACGGGAAAGACACTGGACATTGGTCAAACTTTTATATAACTTGTTTATCATGTGCAAATAGAAAAAGGTAAAAAAAAAGTGAAAGGTAATGGGATAGGAAGAAAATCATAAAATGAATGATAAAGAAAAAGCCTCAAGGTGAGTGAATATCAAGGAATACGAATAAGAAGAAGAAAAAAGTCATAGAGATGAAACTTTCTCTTTCATCTTCATTTTTATCATCATCATAATCATCATACGTAGGTTATTTTTCTGCTTGCTGCTTTATCTGGGTTTTTGGAAAATGAAAAGCAAAAAGTTTTCAACTCATTTCCTACGGTGAAAAAAAAGGTAAAAGGTAAAAAGTTATAAGTTGAAAATGAAAGGCCAGCAAAGTGACAAGCAAGAGATGATGATAAATAAGAAGATGATGATGAAAGAAAAAGCAAATCATGATAAAGATGGAAAAAAGGTAGAATAAGATTGAGGGTGGGTGGTGATGAAGGCTAGTAGGAAGAAATGAACAGAGAAAAAAGGAGAAAAAAAGTAGCAAAAAGCTCAATAAGAGAAAAGAATAAGAAATATATGAAAGAATAAGGATAAAAAAAGGAAAAGCTTGACCAAGGGAGAGTTTAAAAGAGAACAAGATTGAAGAAAGAAAGAGAGATAGAGAGGCAGAGTTAAGGTGGAAAGAGTGGATGTAAATGCTGAGAATGGTGGAATGTATGTTCTCTGCATGGTTCGAATCATAAATCAGACAGGATTTCCTATTGGACATATAATAAAAAAAAGTACAACATGTAAGTTGTGAGGGTGACAGGTAATCAGATTTTACTTTCTTTTGACAGAATCAAAATGTTTCAATCAGATATCTCATTCCTATCATGGCCATGATTTCATGAGATTTTTATTTATTTTGATATTTATTCTGTGGCTCATTATTTGCTCCATTATCTGGTTCTAAATATCAAAGGATAAACCTTATTATAAATGTAAACTTACCTGTTAATAAGGATAATAAATACCTACAAATATTAACATTAAAGGCTAAATATCAGGGTAGAACTTTTTTTTTGCTTCTTCTCATTTTGATAAACATTTGCTGAAGGGTATAAAAACACGGAATCCATCAGAACTCCAATTGTATCACTTCGATGATCTTTTCCCTGATTATTGAATAATTTTATTCAATTCCTTCATTTATCTTTTCCCATTTTCTAAAACTTAGTTTTCTTTAATTTTCATTTTATTCATATTAATCTCTTTGCTTAATTAAGCTAATCAATCTCTTTATGCTTAATCTCTGTATCACTAAAGTGATCTAATTGTTTAACAGTTTAACCAAAATTCCGTTAATTACCATTCAATGGTCTCTTCTTAAAGTACCAAAACTTTGGCCAAATTAGAAAGACTTTGATTTTCTTTCTTTTCTTCTTTCTCTTCCCTTTCTTATCCTTTTAGCTTTAACAAGCCTTTTACCTTTCAGAGGTTAAACTTGTCTTATCATCATCATCATTACAAAGAAGATGATTTTGGCGCGACAGTATTGTTCACTTGCTAATCTTATCCTTGTTCATGATGATCACTAAAGTGATAAAAACGTTAAATTTTTCCCTTTAACTATTACTAATTATGATTATTAATCATCTTCCCCAATTTTGTTTTCTTTATTACTTTGTAATCTCTTCAACTAATCCTCAGTTTAATGCCTTCACTTTAACTGTTAAGTTCAAGTATCTCCATGTTAAACTCAATTTACCTTCTGTTTCTATTAAGTTCTCAATAAAGTTCAGTTCATTTTAACCATCACTTAGTGATCTTTGTTCAATAGAATTGATATTCTAATTGAGAATAATCCTGAAATTACTTGGAACAAATCTGAATTTGTGACAGATTTATCTCCTGATTCCCCATCCGTTGGTTATAGTTAATCTCTCAGAGATATTGTGTCTCTATCTCATTCTGTTGCTCAGAATTTCTCCCTCAACTTAATCAACAAATACTCACAAATTGGCGAAGCTGCCAGGATTATTCTCTTCTCCCCTTTTTCAATTTCTATTGTGTTTCCCACTAGTGTTTTTGTGCTGTTCTTATAATGGCTAATAATAGTAAAGCTAAACTTTCTAGAAAGGCTGCCTTAGAAAAGGCTCGAGCTGCTAAAGCTTCAACTCGTCGTACTCGTGACCCTACACCAGTAGACCCAAGTGATGCCCCATTAGCATCTACTAGTAACGTTTCTGATGAAACAATGTTACAAACACCTCAAGCTCAACAAGCTTATCCTCCATCCACTCCAACTACTACAATTAGATCAACCCGACCCAAAACGGTCAATTTGATTGAAAAATCTCTTAGAGATCTTACCCCTGAAGAAATAACTTCTTTATTCCAACAATGGAACATCCAATTCACTCTTCGTTCTCTTGCTGCTAAAAAATTAGCCGAAGTTGTAACAACTCATCTTCTTCTCTATGGTGAAGTTCTTGATTCTGATGAAATTCTAAATCTCCCTGTTGCTGAAATTAAAGAACAAAATGTTCCAGATTGGCTTCTAGATTTTCGTTTGGAAAATATTTCTGAATTGGAAATTCAAACATTCATCAAATCAATCGGTCGTGATGATGATACTATTTTTCACATCACTCATGGTGAACTTTATGCTCTTCCCTTAGCTCTTGGAACTCTTAACAAGATGAAAATTGTTCTCAACCATCATGGTGCACAAATAATCGATCCTACAGTTTCTGTTGCTTCATCTACGATCTTATCCCCTGATTCACCTCTTACTGCCGCTTCTTTTCTTGAGATTGCTAAACAATTAAAAGTCGATCCTTATGTGCCTGAATTCGTAAAAGGTGAAGATACTTATGGTTGGCTTATTAAAACTCGAGATCGCTTAGCGAAAGAAAACGTTGATGATTCAACTCGATTACGATTGCTACAAAAAGCCATGGCCCATGAGATTAAATCTTTTGCTGTTGAATTGGAATCAATTACTGATTACGGTGAATATCTCAACTCCCTCTTTGAAAAACTTAAGACCCCTGAATCTCAGTATTCTGCCGATTTCGAACTACAACAATGTCGATATCATCCTGAAAATCATCCCGAAAAATTTTTCTCTGAAATGAAAAGACTAATCAGTAAAGCATTTGGATCAGTTACTGATCGCATGTATGTTTCTCTAATCCTCCAACACATCCCTAAGTATATTCGAGATGACATTTATACCTTAGGTATCAATGACGATAAAACTCGAATCTTCAATTTTCTCACTCGATTACACTTCGATTATAAAAACTCTAAAGAGAGAAACAAAGATAAACCCAAAACTTTTTCTAGATCTTCTGATCGTCCTGATAAATCATCACTCACCTCAAAACTTTTCAAAAGTAACAATCACAACGATAAAAATTATTCCCCTTCTGATAAAAACAGAACCTCTAATCCTAATCAATCCAGATCATCTAATCAAACAAAAGGTGATAAATTCTGCAATTACTGCAAAGAAACTGATCATACAGTGAACGAATGTGTTCGTTTGGCCAATAAAAAGGCTAGAGATGCTGCGAGTGGAAAAGTTCAACAAAAACCCACTTCATCTCAATCAACATTCTCCAATTTACCTGCTAATTTAACCACAATGGTTCCACCTCCTCAAGTAAGTCCTCAACAAAATCAACCAACAACTATTTTGGAACCGATTCAATCCGCTATCCGAGATACTCCCATTAACTTTGCAACGGTTAAAAATTTGGACCAAATAACTAAACTTGGTAATGTTCAACTCGCTCATATGCCGCAAGTTAATATTAAACTTTGCTTACCCACGAAAGAAATTATCCAGGAAGGAAAAGTTCTTATCGATACTGGTGCTACAACTTGTGCCATTGACGCTTCATTGGCAAAGGAACTTCAAGTTCATGTAATTCCCCTCTCTCGATATCTTAAAGGTATTTGCTCTGACTCTTATGTCGATTCTCTTGGCTTTGCTTATGCTCTTGTTAAGCATAACGATATGGATCCAATCCATGTTATCAAAATGCAAATTTGTAACAATTTTGAACCTAATCTACTCCTCGGAAATGCCTTCATTCATGTCTTTTACATGAAAATCCAATCAGATGGAACTGAATTCAAAATCTCTTGCAAAGAGACTCCTAATTCCGTTGAATTTAATAACCCAGAATTCTACTTCAGATTCTGTACTCAGGCTGAAACTGAACATCTCATTGAATCAACTATTAAAGTTACCGGTGATCCCATTTCTGATTATATTCTTGATGAATCTAATAATTCCAACTCCGCAATCAAAATAATAACACCACTACCGATCTAAACTCCCAATCTAATCCAACTAAAGAGCTATCCCAAAATTTAATCATCGCT